TCCGCCCCCTGCGCCGGCCGAGGCGTAGCTGGCAAGCGGCAGAGATGGAGCAGGCCGACCACCAGCTGGCCCAGCTCAAGGGAGGTAAGGCACCCGCCGGAAAAGGGGAAAAAAATGGCGGACAGCCTTGCTTGGCGACCCCCGTGAAATGGTCGATCGACCCCAAATGGGGTCGCGACCCATAGGTTGAGAACCGCTGCTCTAAGTTGTCATTTTTCTAAACTGAAAAAACCAGTATTGTAATCTCTCCACAGAGGGGAGCTGTTGTCATTTTCTGCACCTTTTGTAGCTTTGCAATATTTTTCTTATAGGCACACATGCTGCACAGTGTTTCTGTTTTCACCCCACAGATTTGTCCATATAGTTGTGGCATTTAGCAAAAATGTATTTAATAGGGCTATTAGGACTTGACTGAAAATATCTCTGGAGGATCCTTAGATGGCAATAAATTCTAATTCTTTGCTGTTATCCAGTGGCTGTTCAGATTTTTATATTTTAGATCTGGTAGTCCTACATGCAAGGCAATTTTTCACTCCCAGAATGGATTACTAACAGGTGATCTATATAACTTTTTCTCACTATAAATAACAACTGCAGCAAAGGGAGACTAATCTGCATTAGGAGTCCGATAAAAATGATTCCTTTCTCTCCATGCAATAGTCCTGCCAAAAATTAATCTTAAAGTTTTCACTAATGCTAACTGGAATTTTCCTTCTGTATCAAATAGCAGCTGGAGAAAGGAAGTTTTTGCTGAGCTTCCAGTGCACAAGGAAAAACTTAAATATCATCCCCCTACGTGCTCATGCCTGATTAGTCCCTTTTTCTGTTTCAACTGATACAGTATTTAAAAATCAGCAAAATATTAAACTATATATTTAATACCATGTATTTTGGCTGCATTCATTCAGAAAAAAAGTGAATTTCAAATAAAGAATTTGAATACCAATCTACTTCACTGAATTATCCTAGGAATCTTGAAAACCCAGAAATGAATAACAGCCATGTGAAACACACTAACATTCTTCTCATTTGTCATGGACGTTTAAATAGCATTGATGAAAACATTGTTTCAATTAGTACGAAAGTTGCCGCATTAGTTAGAAAATGCCACATCTTCAGCACTAAAGTATATAACAAAATACTAAGCAAAATATCATCCAGGAACCACGTAGCCGAGCTGCCAGATCCTTTAGACTCAGACTGACAACCAAAATGAAAGATCTATTAAGGCTGTAATATATATCTACCAAGCTGAATGCAGGCCAGTGGTATAATGTTCTTGAAAGAAAAGGTGTCACAAAAGTGAACGGTCATGAGTATTACAGAAAGGGGAGGGAGGAAGGGAGGGAGGGAGGGAGGGAGGGAGGGAGGGAGAGAGAGAGAGAGAGAGAGAGAGAGAGAAANAGAGAGAGAGAGAGAGAGAGAGAGAGAGAGAGAGAAAGAGAGAAAAAAAGAAAGAAAGAAAGAAAGAAAGAAAGAAAGAAAGAAAGAAAGAAAGAAAGAAAGAAAGAAAGAAAGAAAGAAAGAAAGAAAGACCAGAAAACAATGGTGGTGGTAGATGTATCAAGTGACAGAAACATCAGGAAGAAGGATGGAGAAGAACCAGGGCCTGAAGGAGGAACTAGAGAGGGTGTGGAAAATAAAGGCCAAAATGGTCCCAAGGGCTGTGACCCTTAAGCTAGGAGAATGGCTCCAATGTTAGAAGACTACAGTGCTAGGAAGAGCTAAGATACTGCACAGAACCCTTAAACCTCCAGGCCTCTGGTAGAGGATACAAGATTGAGGAAGACACAGACTATTAATGGGGAGAGAAGGGAATTTTACATAGACACACACACATACAGACAGACACACACACACACACACAGACACAAATACAAACTAAACTGCAATGGGAACATGAACAAATAATGTAAATGACAAGCATATCCAGGGCAGGCTAATTTGAAAATTTACAATAGGAGTTTTCTCAAGACTAGACTTGATGGGATAGGGAGAAGGCGAATTTATAGAGCGACAAAAGCCTCTTGCAGGAGCTTTAATTATCCAGGAAAGTAATGCTAACAGTCGCTGCTGAAAAAGAGAATAATGTACCAGAATGATTGCTGTGAACCTAATCCATTAACTTCTGTGCAAATCATTGACAAACAAAGAATCATGACTCCCAGGGGCAATCTAATATACATGTTGTGAGAAATAAAAGGCATGTATAAACAAAAAAAATCAAAATCTGCTGTAAAAGACAAAGAGCAGGTGAATAAAGCCGTGCAACTTTCACTCTGGAAGGGAGCACACCTCCCCATCTAATACTGCAGAAATACAAAGGTTTTCAATACAGTCAATCCAGACTCCAACCGCACTTCCTTTCTCTAGTCATATTTTATATATAAATGGAGTTGCTTCATACCTAAACCCCTTATAAACAGGACCACTCAAGAGTAATTGCAGAGCATTGGGAAAGAGCAATCAACTAACTAGAAAGTACAGCAGGCTTCTACATTTTTATTCTTGGCAAAGTCAATCTTCCAACTACTAAAAAGGCTAATTTCATATTTACAGTCAGCATCCTTGACAATTAGAAAATGTATTTAATTGTTTGCCAAGTCTTTGGCATTAAACACTGCTGGGAAGGAGGGGGAAGAGAACAGCAAACGCACTATGAATATTCTCTTTGTCCTTGCGGGAAAAAGAACTGACAGATGTCCAAACCAGAAGTTCAACACAAGTGGATGGATATGTAACTGACTGGAAGTAGAAGAAAAACAATTTCTTTAAAGGAAATTCCTTTGTTATCTTAATGATCTTTGCATTTTATAACAACAATGCAAAATAAGAGAGTTAGTTTAAAGAGGCAACTCTGGAAAGTATGCTTACTAGGATGTAAGTCCCACTGAACTTGGTATAGATTAATTTGAACAAACATGTTTAAAAATTAGTAAATGTGGTAGTCTGTGCTAGGAAAAAAAGTTTTCAAACAACACACTTAAGTGTTATGTTGCATATCTAAAAGCTGATGCTGCCACTTAAGAACTTGTGAATAAGCCTAATAGGCAAAGATTTGCTTCATCTGTAAAGACTGGTGGCCTTGATGCATAGAGTATTCATAAAATGGAACTAACCTAATAAAAATCAGAATCACTACTATTTATCTAAGCTTCCTTACATTATAATTTTAGATTATTGTATTTATGTTAAAGCTTGTGAAACAGTGCATTTTAAGGATTACTTCATCAATTTTATTATAACGCTGTAGGGTCCTTGATGCTCTCTGAGCTTGGTTGTTTTCTTGCAGATGTTTCATTACCGGATTAGGTACTATCATAATTCTATATAAAATCTGAATCCTTGTGGTCACCTAACTCTAGGTAGTCTCAAACAGCAAACAGTATTGTCTCTACCAAGTAAATAGCACAAGTAGAGAATGATGGAAGATTTGGATGGTAGAAAGAAGAACTGTAATTCCTGAGAACTGAGTAGCTGCATTAATTGTTTACATTTAGAATAAGTGGAGATGTCCCTATCACTTATTGCAAAATGCCAACTCAGAAAAACTTCAAAAACGATTATTGTTTTTGGCCAGCTTACCTAGATGTACTGATCAACTTCAACTTATATTCTGATTGCAAATAAGAGCCAGCAGAAACTTATGTACCATTCAGCTTTCTATCCTCCAACTGCTTCCACGCAACCACTTCTTTAAAACAATTCTTACAGAAAACAGACCAATCGATAAAACCTAAAATATCAAGGCAACTCTGAAGAAGGGGCCCAAAGGTTTGATACTTAGATTGTAATTATTCAGGATTCTAATTCTTTGGAGAGAGTGATCTAGGCTCAGGTGTTCCCAAATGTCCTGCTCCAACCATGATTCACTTAGTTTTGCCATCTTTCCTCTACTTGTCAAAACAAAACAAAAAAACATTTCCCCTTTCCAATACTTAACATAAGCAAAGTCACAATAATTCCACCCAAGCAAAAGAGGCTTCTGCATAGAAAGACCAGATACTGGTAGCAAAGCCAGCCACTTTCATTCTCATCGCTACTCGTCTTTTCCTCACGTCACTGCAGCCCGCCCACCCACCCACCCCGAAGCCCTGCCAAGAAATTCTTTGCCAAAACCCACTGAAGATGTTGCATTTGCAGCAAACTATCACTTCTCCTTCTTTCTTTCGCCAAAACAATTTTGAACGCTAGTTTTCAGTACCAGTCACCTTACTTCAGGCACTTCCCAACAATTCCCCATAGCAGCTAAATCATGACAGAGCAAGTGAAGAGCTACCAGGAGCCCTCCATGCAAATTAGAATTTCAATTGCACCCATTTTGTTTTTTTTACCAGCTTCTCTGCCAAAAGTGGTTCTAACCCTAATTAAAGAGGTATTCCAGCAAAGAGTTTCTCTACTAGGGTTACACGTGGAGAGGGAATCCCAAAACAACAGGCTATATACAGACAGATTAGCATTTTCCATCATAGAGACGAAGAGTATATAATTCCTGAGGATGGCCATCCTCTGATCTGTGTGCCAAATTTCAATCACCATCTCGCCTTGGAATGAGCTCTACAAAGCGGTAGCTGTTATGTACATGATCTCAGCTCCCATTCCTTGGAGAGTGTCCCCCACAGTGGCGGAAGAGCTCTGGGACAGACTTTCAGCTGGATTGTCCTTAGGCTGATTCACCGACAGGAGTGGAGCCTGTAGCTTTCTTCTTGGGACGGGCTTTCACTGCCTTCTGTGGAGGCTGTAAAGCAAGAGATTCACAACAGGACATTAGTTGCAAAAAAGATATTTTGAAAAACGGTTTTGTTTAATTCGCCACTGAGCTAACAGCTTCAAAACCTGAGCAGCACTGCTAAAAATGCTGATTCTTAAATCCTCTGTTTTACTACTAGTAGTACTCTAACAACTGAACTAGTAACTGTGATCTCTGGAAGTTATATAAAACAGCAGTAGCATACCTCAATTAAAAACAGAGGTAAACTTGTATACTTATTATTGTCAACATTACAGTAATACCGTTTTTTATTAGAAAGATTTTTATTGGGAAGGTGAGATAGAAATTTAATAAGTATCCAAGCAACCAGCTTAAGGGATTTTAGCATGAAAAGACAAAGATTTAAGAAAAAGGAATAGGAACCTTTCTTTCCAATCACCCCTTTAGTTCAGGTAGCAGAACTGGTTTCAAGGGTTAAGAGTTTAAACAAATATGAAGACAGAAGGCATGGATGAAGAACAGAGATGCTTATCGGTTCTGATTTTGATTTTAAAATTAGAAGAAGACATAATAATCACTAACTGGAGCTATTGCCATCACCCCCATATTTCTATGGAGGTAACATTTCAATACTAAATGCTGTAATTGTCTCAATAAAACAAAGGGAGGGAAATTGTGTCTTATTTTAATTCTTTAAACTATCCCTTCCAGTGGCATGGAGACTTCAATAATTCTGTTCTATTCCTTCTCTTCCTTCTCTGTTGAATTTTTAATAAGCAGACTGAATACTGAGTAAGCACTTTTAGTTGAACAGCCTTAAACTCCTTAACTGAATTTAATTTCTGTTTCTTTCCTGAAAACAAATTATGTCTAAAAAAAACAGAAGATGAATAAAGTTTCATCGGTGGTTGGCTAGGTTAGTCCATCCCCTTATTATAGAAGAACTAGTATAGTCAGTTAACAATCGTGACGAGAATGGTGCTTCTGCAGCCAATATTTTAACCCCCAATTGAAAAATGTATATTCTCAGTTCTGATTGTATTCAGGTGAGAATTTTCAAGGAAGAGTTTGCTCTCCAGACAGTGATGAAATTGCAATGTATACTGTAATGTTATCAAGTCAAATCATGCCACATGTTACTATTTATAAGGAAATGGTTAACCGAGGCAGGAATGTTCTTTATCAGAATGCTTTCATTTACTTAAATTCTGGCTGAGTGGAAAAATAATGTAAAACAAAATCGAAGGCTGATTTATTGGAAAATGCAGACACTGCGTTAAAGCCTTAGGGGTGAAGTAAAAAAAGTTAAAAAAAAGTGTACCATGGTGAAACATGTTTCAAGTATGATTCAAGTATTTCCACCTTTTATTGTTTAAGAAGCCGCAATTTACACATAGAGAATCCATACACCAGCAGGCCATCTCACCTCAGTCTTTATTGTTTTCTTAGGAGCTTTAAGGCTCTGGGTTCGTTTCGGAACTTTGTCTCCTGTATCATCATCAGATGGCTCAGTTCTAGAATCAGACTGTGTTCCATTATGTCTCTGAGTCATAGCCATGTCCTCAGATGAAGAGTAATAAGATGCACCTAAGGAGAAAAACAATAGTGGGGCTGCTTCCTAAAGGTAAAAAAGATACTCAAGACACAGAGGTTTTGGGAGGCAAGGGAAAAAAATGAGTATATTTATCTACGAGGAATTGAACTCGAGGTCAATGGAAATATGAAATTAAATGTATTTCTGAATCCCATAATTGAAATTCCACTCCTTTACAACAAAAGAGCAGCAGTAGCTCCACAACCCAATCTATTCCCTCCGCTCTAGGCGGCCTTTCTTTTTTGTTACTATTTTATAGTATACTTAAAAATGAATAGTAACATTTAGAATGTGAAAAGCCTGTTCATACAGTTATGAAATCAAATTCTCCGGTTCGTACACAATCTCCTTTCCAAGTCAGGTTCATTGACTGGATAAAGATCTAGATCAGGGGTAGGCAACCTTGGCTCTTTTATGACTCGTGGACTTCAACTCCCAGAATTCCTGAGCCAGCATGGCTGGCTCAGGAATTCTGGGAGTTGAAGTCCACGAGTCATAAAAGAGCCAAGGTTGCCTACCCCGATCTAGATGGATAGAGTACAAGAATACATGCCATGGTCACTATATGCTAGGAGAAGAAAACTCCTGTTTTGTATCCCGCTCTCTTTTACATGTGGCTGAGAGGGATGCCCTTTAAAAATACAGGGGAACAGATGCCCTTTGATGTGGCAGATAATATTTTCCTTTTTCCAAGAAAATGCCAGAGGTAATTACATCTTCTCTTTTAAGACAGACTCTTAAAACTTTTATACAGAGGCTCTTATACTTGCATTCACAGAACAATATAAAGCCATTTATAAAGCATTAGTGTGTAAAAATAAGTCTCTTGCCAATTCATTTCTGTAACAGGTACTGATTTTTATTTATCTGTTTTCATTTATTGTACGTTGAATTATTCTTTGCGTGTCTATGTGTTGCTTTAAATTATAAACCGCCTTCAGTGTTCAGTTTGATCTGACATATACATCAATACATTTAATAGAGACTGACTTCACTAACCTGAATCATCGATAGTTTCAAGATGGCCCTTAGAAGACGTATGCATGTGTGACTCGGGACTTTGCAAATGCATTGTGTCGTCATCTCGAATCAAAGTCAAATCTTGCATGCTGAAACTCCGAAGTTTTTCAGACAAAACCCCCTGGCCCTTTAAAACACAATTCCAAATTACAATTATCCACATGTACTGTATCAGAATGTGTCTTAAGGGGAACATTGAAAGAACCTTTGATGAAAAACTAAATACAAAGGCAAGATAATGGAGCATCAGTGACACAATCTGGATAGAAAATGAAATGACTGTCTTTTCTCTAACATGAAGAAATAGCCCGAATGGCATGTAGCTAGTTGACAGTAAGAAAATGAATGCAGTGAAGGGAAACACCAAATATTACCAAGCAGAATGGAACAAGCAGATATTAAAATAAAGACATAAGGAGTTACCTTTGCAGCTGCAGTAACTGCTGCATTTGCTGCCAGATTTAATCCTCGCTTGCCAACACGCATCATAGTTTCATAACTCCTGTCACGGGCCTGGCTAATATATTCATCTATTTCCTAGGATTTAAGTGGAGTAAGACTACGTTTAGAAATTAACATTATTTACCTATAGATTTCTAGCATAAGTTGCATACAGACAAGATTCTAAGCCTTGTGGAGTTCACTAGATCTTTATGCTTCAGGACTCAAATAGAAGGCAAATCTTCCGATTTGTCCTAATGAATCACCTTCTATCAATAATAAAATAAATTATTCCCAACTGTACTAGCAAGTATTTCTTGATTAGGATGGGCTACAAATTATCTCTAGATAATATATATCATGGGATAAGAAAAGGTATATGGAGCATATAAGAAAAATGTTATATATTCCATACCTAATTAACAATATAGTTTCCTATATAATGTTATATAGATTCCTATGTAATAATATAGTCAATGCATACTAAAATTCAGCAGGAAAGGGCCACAGAGTACCTCATACTGTATTGCTCACACTGAGATTCTGAATAGGGATCATATGATTACAAGCTAACCTATTAGAGCGAGATAAAAAGACATCAATTGATACACTATAGAAGTTTGGCATATTTTTATTTTAGATTATCGGTTTGATAAAGTCCCTGATAAATACCCAGTATGCATTGTAACAGTACATTATCTACTGTTTTAAGTGGCTGGTGTTTCATGGCTGTTTTTCAGATATTTAATCATTCTGCCTTGGTGTAAAGATTTAGTAAACAGTGTGGGCACTGGAATTCACTATTGACACTTCAATACTTCAGTGATTTTAATGATGAACTTACATGAGTACTTCAAGTTAATTTAACGTTTTCACCTTTGGTGGATATAAAACTAAAGGGCCAAGCTAGACATAACTTGACCATTTTTTATATGAAATCTAATTCCCTTATAAAGCATATAAATTTAAAAGGCCCATTTTTAATTTCAAAAAGAGTATGTATACAGATGAGGAGAACAACTACTTGTGCTCTGCTACTCAGATAAATTAATCTCAGCTCCCTCACTCATTAGTAGTGAAGCAAGCTGGGAGAAAAGTGCCTGACATCAGTAAATACGGTGAGGTAAGGCTATACTTCATGGTGTACCTACAGAGTTGAGCAACTGTGAATAGCCTGCACTCCTAGACGTGGACTATCTGACAATCAACTCGGAATATTTTCTCATTCTCCTCAAATTGCAAGGTGCTATAAATACAAATAACAGTATGCATGTTGTCTTTCCGTCATCTCGTATAAATATATGACATTACATTGTATTATAAAGACACAGGCTATTGTGCTGCATTCGTTATTTGCTCCCTGAAAAGAAATTTAAAATACAACTATTTCATCAGGTCTTCAGAAACAAAAAACTTTCCTGTAGAGTCTGGTTTTTGTTTTCTTTCCCCTAGTTCTGTTATAGAATTGGGAAAGCTAGGAGGAAGGATATGTGAGGTGTGATTGAGAGCAAATTTCACTGAGTTTAATTATAAAATGCTTTTCTGTAGCCTTGTATTAAGCACATTCTTATTTCTGTATTATATCTGCTTTATTCCCTTTCCTATTCTAAACTGTCAAAACGTATCTGTCTCCTGCTCCAATTTGTTGTAAATGGCTGGGATATTTTCTAGAACATAGTTTGTGATGCTACCAGCAATCAGGGGGTGGGAGTGTAGGAACCCATGAAAATCACTGCCATAGTACTTTCTTGCAGTGAGAGACATATGTTGGATCCCAATTCCTTCACTTTGGTTTGCAGACACTCAGTTCTGGACTTAACTCATTATATTACTTTACATTAATTTTTAATTACTCTCTTTGAGATTTTGATATGCATAAACCACATTAGGCATAGTCTACAGAAAAGGATGGATGGATAAATAATAGGTAGGCAGACAAAGAGATGGAGATAACAACAGATCACATTGAGATGAAATTGAAATACATTTAATACACATATCTGATGTTAACACCAAGAAATTTAGCTCACACAAATACTACAAATGTTACATGTATTGTAGCAAAGTTAATCATCAATATTTATAACTTTAAAAAGATCACTTACACCAATATCTTATCAGAGAAAACAAAATTGATCCTGGAAATGTTCTTTCAAATATCAATTTTCTTACTAAAGTTTACATTCTAGAAATATTTGGCAAAATATGTGGTTTTAGGAGATGGGTGATATGGAAATGTGTGAGATAGATAGATAGATAGATAGATAGATAGATAGATAGATAGATAGACAGACAGACAGACAGACAGACAGACAGACAGACAGACAGACAGACAGACAGACAGACAGACAATTTGGTATTCAAATGGAGCCATTGAATGTTTTGTACAGCACCATTGTGATGATCTAAAAGGTTAGTTGTCAAATACATTCTTGATGCCAGCCTATAGAAAGTAATTTATTTATTTATTTATTTAATCACATCTGCATAGCTGCCTGTTCACATTCTCTGGCCAATGGGACCTTCAACACGCCCCTCCTGCTGGATCTGATGAAACAGGTAGATGTAACCTTGGAGAGTCAGTCCCTCAAATATCCTGATAGGGCTTTGCTTTAAAAGTTATAACCAGCACCTTGAATTTGACCTGGAAGCAAATTGCCAACCAAAGCAGGTCGGGTGGCAGAGGTGCAACATAGGCAGATCTCACATGCATAACTCCCTCTGCTGCTGCATTTTGCTCCAGCTGAAGCCTTCAGATACTCTTCAAGAACAGCCCCATGTAGAGCATTTCCATTTGGAAGGTGGCTAGGGCATGAATAGAGCCTCCAAATTCCAGAAATGAGCGTAATGGGCGTGCCATTTGTGCAAAGGCCCTTTTAGCCATTATTGCCACCTGCTCTTTGAACAGGAGTTGTAAGTCCAGAAGAATCACCTAGTTGCACACTGGGTCTGTTAGGTTTGGGGCACGAATGTTGCTAAATCCCCAGATACAGAAGGCTCTAAAATCCAAAGCCATTCAGTCTTGCCAGGTTTCAGCTGAAATCTGTTGTTCCCATCCAGACCCCCAAAGCCTTTAGGCACCAAGAGTGTAGATAAACAGCAGCTCACCAGGGGCAGAGATGTATCATGAGCATTCTGGGTATCATCAGCCTATTGATAATACCTTACCCCATGGTGATGGATGATCTACCCAGACATTTCATGTAGATATTTAATAGGAGTAGAGAAAGTACCAAGCACTGCAGCATCCTGCATAGAGCAGGATTTCTTACTCCCGATCAACACTTACTGGAATGGTGTTGATGGTAATTTGACCAGATCATGAACTTTTAATATTTGCTATCTACCTAGTGACTTCTAGTGGTCACTAGGGCCAGTGAGTTCTGGTGCTGGATGGGCACCAAAGAGATCCAGGCTTCTTGAGTTTCCATAGGAAAGCAAGCGTATAAAAGTAACAGATCAAATCAATCAATCAATAAAAGTTCATATAGTTAATTTAAAAAAAACACCACACAGGATTCCCTACTGAGTTCACTCCCTGAACAGCAAAAACTGTAACTAACAATGAATATTTTGCAGTATAGAAAAGTAATAGTTTGAGGTATTAATTTATGCTGGAGGCTATTTCATTGAACTAAATATGAATAAATACACATGATTAAAAAGTACAGATTTGTGTACTCTAAACAAAATTAACTTACTTTGTAAACTAGTTAAGCTCTGAGAGAAACGCTAGTGCTGATGCCTGTTAACATAATTTTACCTTACTTAGAACAGAATCTTAAACAGAATCTTAAATGGAATCATTAGGCTCTTCCTTCCAAATGCATTTGATATGATCTGTGTCAAACGCATTCAGAAGGAAGAGCTTAATTATTTCCTAATTGGCACTTCTGGGTATTTTACAGTGAAGCATGAAATTTTTTAATATATAGGGATCTTTTACAGCTGATATAAAACAGTATAATGTTGATTTGTATTCAAGTACAAAAGAAACACAAATTGCAGCTTTCCGGTAGTGTGACCAACCTGTAGCTTGGAAAAGGGGGTCTTTTTTTGCATCTCTACCAACAACAACAAATCAACAAAGCAATAAATCAAGAAAATATAAAATGTATTTCATAAGATTTAAAGTTGTCTAGAGGATACAATTTGTAGCTCAGTGCATTACTACTTCCTAACATGATAAAAATTTATTTAACTGAATTCTTTTTTAACATTATTCTTTCATGCAATCATTTTCTCCATAAAGACCTAATCTCTTCTTTTACTATGATGCTGTAGAAAGTGAATCATTTGCCACCCGAAGACCAAAATTCTATGAAATTATGATAAAATAGGTGGCACAACATATTGGAGTTTTAAAAGTTAGGATCAACTTAAAGTTAACAGCAACTCTGACTTGATGCTGATTAAAGAAAATAAATTTAATATTCCAGTGAACATGATTACTCTGAAGGATGAAAAATTGCATAGCTCTTCTTACCATTTAGCAAGAGGTAGTAGCATGAACTATTTTAAAAAGGAGGCACATGACCAGAAACACTGTGAAAGCACTTTGCAAGTGACCAGAAACACTTCTGTTTGCATGGAGCATCACAGCAATTTACTCCCCAGAGCCCGATGGGTGATTTCCTGGTGTTTTTGGTCAAGTGCAGAGTGCTTTCTTGGTGTTTGTGGTCAGATGAGGAGTGCTTTTCCCAATGAGGGGCGGGTGATTTCATTGTGTTTCTGGTCACGTGCAGAGTGCTTTCATGGTGTTTCTGGTCATTGAACAATGCTTTTTCCCAACATTGGGTGGGTGACATTCAGAGTGCTTTTTCCCAACATTGTGTTTTTCGTCATGCACAGAGTGCGTTTGGACGGAGAATTGCAGCAATGTTCCTCCCCAAAGCTGACACTGATGCTGTGAGAAGAATAATGCTGTGAAGAGGGTTTTTTTTTCCAGTTTGGACTCCAAACTTTCCTGCCCATGCAGCCCCATTTCCGTGGTGCATCAGACTGCAGCTAAACGCAACTGCAAACTTTGCAATCTGCTTGTTGGGCAAGAATTTGAATGTAACTCAAAACAAACCTTTGCTTCCCAAAGCTGCCTTTATTTTCAGAGCAAGACACCCTCAAACATTAAGCAATGTGCCTTTAAAAAAAAAAAAAAAGTTGCAGGACTTCCCATTTTGAAACTCCCACCCCCGCCATTGCATCCGTGCCATTGCCTCCAACTCCACTCTCCGCCCATCCCTGCCCCCCCTCTGACAGCCTGCTCACCCAGCCAGCCGGCTCTCCAGCCAGCGGTCACAGCGAGTTATCCCCGCAGCGAAGTTTCAGTGTTGCAAAGAAATGGCGACAGCAAGTTGGCAGAGGGGACTTGGGGGTGGCGAGAAGGCTGCCCCCAGTTGGCCACATTAAACTAGCAGCATCAAGTCATCCTAGACCCCCTCAAGTAAGCTGATCCCAGGCTGACCCTAATTCCCATTAATAAGGGCAGAAAAAAATTCTCTTACATTTTTCTATCAGGTCTCATTCAACCGTGATAAAAGATTTGTTTTAGAAATTCTTCTAATGGGAATGGAATTTGGCATCCTTGCACTTATTTAGTGACGAGGAGGAGACGGAATATATGTGAAGTACATTTCATTGTACAATAATCTTTCCAATAGTCTGCAACCTCCCTCATGCCCAATAGTTTGGCTAACAACTCAGGAGGGGATTCTTCCCATCAAGCCTTTTCTGGGATGGTGCTACTTTCATCATTGCATAGGAATCCTGCCCTTGAAATATTTTTGAATAAACTCTGTCCAGATATTAGGCAGGCAATTTCGAAAGGTTATTTATGCCCAGCTCTAGATGCCATGCATTCAGCATGAATAAACATGGGCATGACAAATTTCAAAGGCTTTTTTCCCCCCCTGCAACCCAACTACATTTGAAGTGACTCAATTTTTCATGTCTGATAATTGGGCAAGCTGCAGTACCTTCTCCTTATTGGAGAGCGTTGGGTGAACAAACTTCCTGTACAGGACGCTGGATCCCTTGGTATAAGGAGAGAGCAGCCAGATCACAAATGCGATTTTCAACTCGAAATAAAAGGGAAACCTGAGAGAAATGGAAAAGCTAGAATCAAGCTCAGGTTAGAGTGAGACAAAGGTTGACAGTTCAGAATAGTACAGATGGAATAAGCAAAGGGAGAAAAAATGAACTATAGACAGAATAGAATCAATATCACAAAGCCAGCTACCTTCTATTTTCTTCATAACAACAACCTTGTGAGGTGGGTAGGACTGAGAGAGAGTGACTGGCCCAAAGTCACTCAGTCAGTTTTCGTGCCTAAAGGTGGCCTACAACTCATAGTCTCCTGGTTTAATCATTATACCAAACTGGCTCTCATTCTTTTCAAGAATGCTCTTTTCTGAAATCTCATTTCAGATTTCTTTTATAAATTTAATAAATACTCCAACAGAGCAAACATAGAATTAAGTGCCAATGATTGTACCATTTAATTTTTTTTTCAGATAACAATAAATTATCATCGCTGTGGGGATTTACATGACCAATTCTTTGCCTCAAAATCACCCAACATTCTCATCCCAGTACATAACCCATTGATTCACGTCTTTTGAACAAGTTGCCAGTAAGGTGTATTTAAACAGAACTATTACTGTAGGATTGGAGTAACAACTCTTTCCTCAGTGTGTTTTCAGAGAACAAATACTTTGATATTATTTCACAAAGCAAAAGACACTGACAAGTTGCAACAGTATGAGAAACAACCGTTTTATTCAGAGCCAGAATCCAATTTTTTTTAAAATTACTCTTGGAAGAAAGAATAATATATTTTGCCAACTTCAAACATTCAATTTATGAGATATATCATATGTGATAACAGCAAATAAATATTTCCGCCAAACATTTAAAATAAAAAAGATTTTGGAAAAAAACATTCAAAGCAGTCAAGAATGAGAAAATAGAATACTTTACTGAAACACTTCACAATACAATTGTCAGTTTTAGATGAATGGTTTAAAAATATTACAGTATCAAGTAGTTCCTATCACTGGTAAAGAACTCACCAAGACAGAATGATGTCTGTGAGCGTTTCTGCTGTGGTGAAGAAGGCAAATACAATCCAATACATCATCCATTTAACCTGCAAGGTAACCATTGCATTAAAAGTATGCTGAACATTCGGCCTTCTCTTAAAACAAATATTTCATTTATAGGTACCAAACATTCTGAGCAATTTTTTCTCATACATAAAAACAAATATTTACACAAACATCACTTTATAATTCATAGTTTGTAAGCAAAGTTTGTCATGCATGTTCTTCCTTTGCCACCCCACCCCCTTTAACGCCCTCAAATTTTATTTACTTCAAACATTGAAGCCTGGCAATGTAGTATATAACTGATATATTTACCGTCCAATAGCTTGTCTAATGAGAGGTAACATTGGAAGCAGAGGGGATTTCATCAAAAGATGAAATCCATGGAATTTTTCTGCTAATGGAACTTCTCCATTACCCCAAGGATGGGGGAAAGCTTTTTGTAATCCTCTGCATTTTTTTTCAAAACTTGTTTAAAAGCTTAGGAACCCTAAGTGGCATATTTAGAGTTACAGAAAACCAGAGAGTTCTCCAAAAGAGTGCAACAAGTATTTAGGATGAAAACGTATTACCTAAAAGACCCACATCAGCTTCATGATTCAACACAGCAATTAACAACTGATATTGTTTTATTACAACGTACTCCATACAGGTAGTCCTCGACTTACAACAGTTCACTAAGTAACTGGTTTAAGGTACAACGGCACTGAAAAAAGTGACTTATGACTGTTTTTCTCATTTAGGACCCATTGCAGCATCCCTGTGGTCACCTGATCAAAATTTAGATGCTTGGCAACTGAGTCACATTTATGACCGTTGCAGTGGCCCGGGGTCATGTGATCTGCTTTTATGGCCTTCTAACAAGCAAAGTCAATGGGAAAACCAGTTTCACTTAACCATGTTACTGATTTAACAACTGCAGTGATTTGCTTAACAACTGTGGCAAGAAAGGTTGTAAAATGGGGCAAAATTCACTTAACAAATGTTTTACTTTGCAACCAGAATTTTGGGCTCTCCTGTGGTCGTAAATCGAGGTCTACCTATATAGCAGATATTTGTATGCCAGCATCTTGATTGCCGGCAGGCAGGCAGGCAGCCGGCCGGGCGCTAGCTCCCCCTGCTGTTCATTAAATAAGAGTGTAAGAAGATTAGCAGAGCCCAACAATATCATATGTCTGGTCCAGCATAATGTTAGAAAGAAGTCAAACAAATCCTAGAAATTAGACTACAGCCAGCTTTCATTGTGCTGGCTAAAAATTGCTTTCTCAATGTATAGTATAAAACAGGTTATTATTTTTAACATTTTGGAGGAATATATCAAGGCTAACAATAATTGATAGCAGTACTAGACAAATACCAATCCTCTGTCTAGATTTCTTCATAGGGCTTTTTTTGTCATAGAATGCACCGGAACAGAGTTCCGGCACCTTTTTTCAATGGATTTTCCAGAGTTGCGTTCTTTTCCTATTGTTTTCCTTCCTATCCTCGTTTGTTTTTGAAAATGCCCGCTGGCAGTACGGTGCGAGCGGGGTCCCCTCCGGCGTTGTTTGCCTCCTCTAGGAGGAGCCATGAGGCGCCGGAGCACTACAGCCAGAGCGTGGTTTGATTGGCTGGATCGGACCATGTGGTGTGGAAGCCGATGGTGGCGGTGGGAGACACATAAACATGGAGGCCATCTTTCACGAGAGGGTGAGTGTGCCTTTTGCCTTCCCTTACAGAAGGTGGGGTGTGAGGTTAAAAAGAGGCGAAGCGAGAGGAATGAACGGCAGCTGGTGTGGAAGCTTGCCCGACAGTGAAACTTTGCTGTTTCGGTTCCTTGGGTAGTTCAAAGGCTGGGATGTCTACGAAAATCTCTTTTTAGTCTTTTATACTTTATATTCAAACTGCAGAAGGGAAGAATAAGAATAAAGCCAATGTCTTGTGATTTGGAAGTATTATTATTAATACTAATATATATTAATTATGTATTGGTCAGATGTAAAGGAGACCTACAGTATGAGGTTTAATCAGATCTATTTATTAAATTGGGTTTAACTTAAAAGTAAATTAAAAGTAATCTGTTCACTGACAAAGTTTCAACTTTAATTTGTTTCAAGTCAAAATCCATATTAAACTCCAAATGTAAATTTTTCCATCTTATTTGACAACTTCTTAAAAATAATTCATTCTTTTACAAGCAATCAAATTTTGTTTTATTGGGCCAATTTCGTTCCACATAGAAAGCTGTCATTTCCACTCATTAAACTAAATGGGTATGCCAGTGGTAAATGTCCCAAAAGATTAATAAAATGTTGTAATTTAAAGCCACACAATGCATGGTAACATTAATAGTATTAACTTACCTTGAACAAAATCCCAGTCTTTTAGATACACTAAAAATTGAAGAGGTTTTTTTTTCAACTACAAAGGTAAACCTTGTAGGGTAGGCAAGGCGGGTTGTATGACGTGTGTGAGTTCCGGCACTTTTTTTTTTTTTTTTACAAAAAAGCACTGTTCATAACCATCTAAATGCGTGACTGTCCCAAAGGTGCTTTTTCAATAAGCAGCTAGACTTTCTTTGTTTTTTCTTGAGACATTTCACTTCTCATCCAAGAATGCTTCTTCAGTTCTGAATAAATGGTGGAGAGTGGAAGGATTTATATTTCTTGCAGTGATCTGGTTGTTAGCATTCTTTCTGAGAGTAGTTGAGGCATTTGGAGGTTTATCTGTGCCCTCAGAATACACCTGAATAATGTAAATGGGTGTGGAACCTTCTTGGAGCTTCTTGAAAGGCTGCCTTTTGAAAAAGCAATTTTAGGACAACCATGACCTGGATGACTGAGAATCTCCATAGACATTTAGGTGTGTAACTGTTGTATCTTTGTACCATCACTGAATCTTCCCACATTTAACTTCATCTGATAAAATTATAGTTATTAAACTCTTAAGGAAAACAAAATCAAAAAGTAAGTCTGAAGATTTCCAGAAGGATCTTTATAACCTGGGTATGTGACCAACCAAATTATGAATGTGATTCAATTGAAATATATGTAAACAGATACATGCTTAAGCAAAAGAACCCTATCTTCACATCTACACTGACAGAATCTGACCTATCTGTAACCAACCAGGAAAAAAAATATATCGGGATCATACTGGATAATTGTGCTGAGACAGTGCACATGAAGTATAAAATATGCAAATTCTGAAGAAAAGAACTGAAAATAAAAATGTCAATATTGTAATGTTCTTATTTAAATTAATATCTGATTTAGAATATTGTATACAGTTTTGGTTGTACAGTTGAAAAAGGGTATAATGGAGCTGGAAAAAGTGCAAGAGAGGAATATTTGTCTGTCTCCTAGTTGCAAACATTCCAGTAGAATCTAGTTGGCAGCTGTGAGAAACAAAGTGCAGACCTAAGATGGGCCTGGTCTGATCCAGCAGAATTGTTTTTCTTTCTTTCTTATGAACATGTGTTCTAATATTACAAAGAAAAAGAATTATCAACAGTCAGGTCCAAACATTAACCTAACCCTTTACCCATCTCCATTCTAAACTATTGCATAATATTATTTCCTAATTAGAGAGCTTTTTTAGTTTCCAATCATATAAACCACAAGGAAGCTATTGAAAATATCTTTTGAACAACTGATCCAGACTTGCAAATGCCTGTTCTAACTATAAAAAGATAAATCCTCCCTCCAATTGAGTTTAACTCCTTGTGACTACACAGATAAAATCACAGCATTTTCATGGCAATAGTGCAGAGCTTACCATTGCTTCTTTTCCAGGATGTTTTTCAACTTTCCAGTCTAGCCTATAGTCTTTTAATTCCCTGGTAGGCTCTCATTCAATTCAGGCTAGGCCTGTCTACCTCTGAATCCAGACAATGTTACTGTCATTTTGTAAGCTATGAAAACCATTTTATTCAGACAGGCTTTCAAAACTCAGTAGTGGCCGAGTTTGGGTCTTATATCTGGCTTCAAAATTAAACTCTTTGAATTGCTTATACTCCTCTTTGCAGTATTTGGGTCAAAACAGAGTAAATACAAAACAATAACCAAATTATAATAAGATGAAAGTAAATAAGCACTATCATAATTTTCAATAATACCATAACTATCAATGCAATTCCTAGTACCACACCTTCATGAGCAATTTCCACACCATTCCCAAAGGCCCTCTGAAAGAGCAAGCACATTTTTTCATCTCTGGAGCTGCACTATTACCAAGAAGGGAGGTCACCAAGGGGCAGGCTTGTCCTTTGGGTCCCTCCGGCCATCTTCCCTATGAAAACATACCAGACAGGCAGATTCCATTCACAGAAAGCAATTTTGGGGACACTCGGTTTATTAACACATCAAAGTAATATCCAGCAGAATGAACTGTATCTGGAAGCCTATTGGCAACCAGTGGAATCCCATATTAGAGGTATACGACAAACTGAAATGAGTCAATCTCTATTTGAGTTGCTACACTCTGGATGGTGTATCTTCTAAATGAATTTCAAGAGCAGCAATATGTATAATAAATAATGGTAATCCAAAAGTGAAGTGATAAAAGCATGAGTATTGTATCAAAGCCTCCCAGTTAAGGAATGTCCACTATCTCCTTCCACTTCTCAATCAACAATTCCTACTCTTCCAATATCTCCGCATATATTTCTGTTCTTCCAGCTTGGTTTCTGTCAACTACAAATTTTCCCAAACTGATCAGATTATCTCATGTAGGTTACAGTGCTTTCTGCTCTTTCCACCTGCTAGTTTTTTCTTCATGGATACTTATTCACAAGGAGTAGCTTTAACAGCAACCATGGTTTGTGGAATGTTATTTAATGCTGTATTTGGCATGTGTTCATATTTAATCATATGGATTGCTGGACAGTTGTAATTTGTTTCTACTGCATGTGATTAGAAGCAAACTGCAATTAGGTGAATTTTCTAGTTTCTGATACACAATTTCCTAAGATTTGGGGTATAGAATATCTAAATATTATATATTTTTATATTTATAAAATATAATACTTTATAATAAATATACAGTCTTTGGTAGAAAATAAATAAAAGGTTAGTGAGGTGATGCTGAAAAGTTGTTGGTATTCCTAATCTATAGCAATTTAGGTATAGTTTTGTGTCATCATTCTGGGTAATCAACAGATTTTCATGCCTAATTTAGATTCTAGTGGCAGAAATGCATTTTGAACTCTGATCCTTTTAAGTCAGGATCAGCGACATAAGCCTGAAACCTAGTTTAGAGACTGACACAGATGATTATCACTGAGAGATAGTCTACCCTGAAAACTGGACAATTGGTATTGAAGGCCATTTATGGACAATGGTCACTGACATAATTGTCCGCATTTAGTTTTTGTATTTTGAAGAGCAATCAAAAGCATTTACAATGGTCACATTCTGTGGCAGGAATAATGACTTTACTATAGAAAGACACAAATAATAACTGTTTTATTTTCAATCTTATTCCAATCATTTCTTAGTACGGAATTTGCCTTTTTCCACTGCCAGTTCATACTTAGTAAGTTTTGTAAGTTTTCTATTGTACACTTAAGACTTCTCCGAGATGGTAAAGATAATTTTTGACTGGGAGCTATTATAACATGGGTAGCTGAATACATGATTTAAATAAATAAAATAATTACAGATAGTTTTTCAGGACAGGCAACATACGCTAAGTAGCAGAAGCCTAGGAGCCCTACTTTATATAAGTTCCTTTATTATTTTACCATGCTTAGTTTGGGCTGCCCTAAAGGAAAATGTCCTGTCAGATTACGTAAGATTCTTTCAGTTACATCTTCTGTTACAACATCTGCCCACCCCCTTCCTACTGAGACAAGTTTTAAAGAAATGCTTAACAAACTGCGATCAATAAGCTGCTGATATGCCCAATGTCTCACTTGAGTTTCCTGACATTATTGTATTTTAATTACTACATTTTACTATTGTATTTTAATAGACATCTACCTTATACAGTCAAGATTTTAAATTCTTGTAATGATTGAGTTGGGACAAAAATCTCTATACAAGTACACATGTAGTTAGAATCAGATATAGTAGTAGTCTCCGAGTCAAGCAGTTTTAAAAGGGGGTAGGTCAAATTCATGGAGGATGGGCTATTAATAGCTACTAGTTTTGATGGCTGTTGTTACTTCTGGAATTATAGGTAGCATGCCCTGAGTATCAGCTGCATCATACTCCTGAAGAGGTCTCTCCTTCTTCTTCTCCTCTTTAGTACTGTAAACAAAGCACCAATCTACAGGATCTTATTTATCTCCAAAAATGCCCCTAAATACTGTGAAGACGTAAAGTATATGTGTTTTTAGAAAATAAAAATGGTGGATGATTGCAGTTTATTAATTTCCTTGCAAGCCTAGCCAAAAAAAAAGGCAATGATAATTTTGGGATGAAAGCAGAGCTTCATAGCCCAGAAAGAATGACAGGAAACCTCTCCACCAGTTTGCTTCTGGTAAATTGGTATTTTGTACCAGCTTATATTAATAGTGGTTTTATAAATGGGTAAGTTTTCCCTGACAGCCATTTTCACTCCAGACAGGGTTTCACAATGTCAAATGGGTGCCTGGCCTAAAAAGATTGGAACTCTTGGTTTCTTCCAGAATATTTAGAACTGTCTTTCTTCCTCCATATATTGTCCCCACAGGATGTTTCAATTTTTTGTGGAACTTATGAGCAATCCACAACTTTTCATTTGTGTGGGCTTCAGAACAATCCTGGTTTGGTACCAGTAATATTAAACAGGTAATTCATAGCATTAAAAGATTTTTGGGGTGAGTTTGGCCAAAATAAAGAGGCTTCTGCAGTTTACGGTTCCAGACAACGGACACACATTTTAGCCTTCCATGATGGTAATATTGCCACCTCACCGGTCCCATTTTATGACTCTTGGGACAAAAAAAAGAGACAGTCATTAAAAAGTTTGTATAGTGGGCCTATTCTAAGTAAGTAACTAAAGCTTTAGAATACCATGACAAAGGCTTTTTCAGCATTTCCTTGGTGGAACAATCTTTGGAAGGAAGAAAATCTCAAGAGTCATACTATTAATTGTTTTAATAAAAAGGACAAATGTGTTGCATGACGTATCTTGCTAGTGCATTTGACAGATGTCTTTAATGTTCATTTATTTTGAAAGGGCAAAAGCTTTTTTTGAGTTATCTTTTTGATGAAAAACATCTTTTTGATGAAAAACAAATTCAGGACAGCTAAATAATGTAAATATCACATAACCAAAACTGGCACAAGCATTCTCTTTATAAGAATAATGTATACTTCTGCTTTCTAGTTTCCTCTCAGAACAAGCATGGCCTTAAACATTGGAAGCATGGGTATCACAAAGAACAAACACACAAAGACATATGCTCTGGGAAGTCCCATGTTGTTACCTCAACATCAAGTTAAAAGTTCTCAGAAAAAGCATGAAATACTGAAAGTAGCTCAAATTTGGCATATCCATGCTAGGCCCACAATAATTTCATATCTGTTTATGAAAGCTAACAATGTGAAAGTTGAAATGTTGCTGGATACCAGAATCAGTGTTATCACAAATATTTTGCAATTTGCAAACTTCTAAAAGCTGCTCCAAGAAGACTTTTAGTCCAGATTGTCAAATGCAGCCAATTGATTATTTCTTGCTACCCAGAGTCATTGAGAGTTTGATTGAATGCAAGTTCAATAAATAAAAATGATCCTACAAAGAAAGTATATACTTCATTTTGCATAGCAAAGCATGAAACAACAAAATAAGAAGCATATATGTAAAAAAGCAGCACTGAGACTGATTTCAATCTTTCCCATACTTCTTTCTGTTCCAGTTCTTTACCTATTTCTCATTATTCCTGACACATATTCTTCTGCTTTAACTTCCCTATAGCAAAAACAGTCTATTAACCTTTTCATGAATTGCTAAAAGTGGTCTAGGGATGTTCAATACTGTATTTTACAGTCCAATTAAGAACCTTCATTTTAAATAGATTTTTGTTTCTTAATTTCATAATAATTGTCAGGCAACACACCCAGTGCTAAGTACTTGGGACAATCCTCCAATATTCCAGTGCTGCAATAAAATCCCCCCTCCCACTAAAATCGGCAACAAAACTGAGCATTGGGTTTTCACCAGTGACATTAAAAAGCACTTTTAGCCTCCCATGCTTTTTGCAAACATGTTAGTGACATAGTCATTGTTTTAATGTGCAAACTACAGTGTTTAAGTTGGCTGAAGCCTGCAAGATGGTAGCTATTCTGAAGACAGTGGTACCATTAGAAACATGATGCTTTGGAATAGCTTGTAGTTTATATTGGCTGTAACTTTTACAACATTAAAAGCAAGAAGCGATTAGCTGAAGAAGCATATAGTGACATCATCAGCTTATCTAGTGTGTGTGTGTGTGTAGTCATTATATGGGAAATTGCTTAAGAGCAGAACAAGCATGTCAGTTCTATCCCACAGTATGTTCACATCAAATAAATAAGATCTTTTTTTAAACTAACATATTAAACAAGAATACAAAAAAGTAAAATCTCAAGCTTCCTTGCCCATTCACAAAACCTGGTCATTTTCCGAGCAGGAGACAAATCATGAATACCAAAATCATGGCAGAGAAAGATGAATTCTTAAAATAAATATGATGGCTTCCTTGCACTTACATATTCTTTCACATTTTTCGTCTTCACAGCTTTGTAAGAAGAATAGGCAGGATACAGGGTGCCAAAAACCAGACTGCAACCAGAGGTTGGTTTGTTTTTTTTAAAAAAGAAAATGGGGAGGGGGGGGTGGAGAAGAGAGAGAGTGAGGTTCCAGTTATTCAGGGTGGGCGTCAGACTCTCGCAAACCTGGGCGACTTCCAATCCCCACCCCCCACCGGCCCATCGAGCAGGCCGAGCAACGAGGCGCTTTGCTCTTCACCTGCTGCATCCACAGTTCCCTTCCTCGTCGCCCAGGCCCGTCAGGCTGGCTCAGCCGACTGTCTATTTCGCGGCACTTTCCTCCCCAAGGGAGCGAGGGATCCCCGGACATCAGGCAACGCCCCGTCTGGTTTCTCCGCCGCCAGATTCAGGGTGAGGAGCGCTGGCCTCCCTCCCGCAAGCTGCCCCGGGGAAGAAAGGGGGGGGGCGGCGTGCTAAAGCCCCGGGGAAGGCAGCCCTGCCGACGGCGCGAGCCCCCTGTCCCCATCTTCATCCCGTTGCCTGGCAACAGCACAGAGAGAGAGCCTCCCGCCCAGCCGCCCTCCGCCCTCGCGCTCTTACACCACCAGCCGGGAGATGATCCAGGACACCATGGCAAAGGCGAGGAGGCCCGGACTCCTCCGGCAACGGCGGCGGCGGCAGCAATCGGGAGCTGGCTTTCAGCACCAGCTGCAGCAGCAGCAGCAGCAGCAGCGAAAGAAAGCGGGGCGCTCTTAAAGGGCAGGTTTCTGCAGCAAGCGTCGCCCCGCCCCGTTTCCTTAAAGGGGAGGGGCTACCGGCGCGTCGGAGGGAAAAGAGCCGCGGACCGCATCCCGGCGAAGTCGACTGGGTGCGCGCGCCCTTCTCTTCCCGGTAGCAGACCCTGAACTGGGTGGGCCGGCCGGCCGGCATTGCGTCAAACGAGACTCCTTGCTGGCTAAAAGACCGGAGTCCGCCGTAGAGCAAAGCGGTGCGAGTGTAACGTTAAGCCCTCCTTCAGCCTTACAAGACCTGGAGTGGCTACTCTGAAAGGTTTACCCCAGGGCAACATTCGGCGTAGGCTAAAGCCCCTTTAATCCCCAGCGGGATTAGCACGCCTTTTCACGAGGGTTTTCATCGTGCGTGATAGGACGACAAAAAGCACTCAAACGCAGGGGAAGGAGAGAAAATGACACTCTGCCCTGAAGTTAAGAGAAAGAAACGCGGCAGCGTGCACACACTTGCACGAAGAGTAGTCTATATAGTAGGGAAGTACTGTATAGTAAGCTGGTGCTGTCAAACTTGCAGTATTTGGAACTATGTTTGTTGACAAGCCAGTAATCAGAAAAATAACATCTGGCCTAGCTATTGCCCCCCCCCTGCAAATTACCCTTCTTATGGTTGGAGTACAACATTCATAAAGAGCTGAGGACCATCTCATAGCATATTTTGCTGTTCACACTCTAGATAAGATAACCTTTATTGTCATTTTTTTTTACTGTGGGCACAACGCACACATCAAAAATGAAATTTAGTTGCCGACTCTCAAAGTGAAACACATACATGACGCACACCTCTCAATATATGATTCTCTTGCCACATCTGAAATTGTGCTAGCAAAAATGAAAGACTAGAAAGATGACCAACTGTAGTACATCCAGTGAGATTAAGAAAATCATAGGAAGAGAATAATAAGGAGGGACTAGGAACTAATGCAACACTCTGCAATGTGCAGGAAAAGCAATTAATCCTTGAGAGATGGCTGTCTCTCTCTTGTGATGTTCAATAAATGGACAAGGTTTTTTTTAATCTAGAAGAGATAGACTAAGTTGTTAAAAGGCAAACTTAAAAAAAAACTTAAGCCAAAAGTGGAAACATGGCCAGATTTCCCTTGCAGCTATCTTAATATAATTTTTTCCATGTTGGTTTCATGCACTTCCGTTGTGTAAGTGGTAGAAACAGAACCATAATCAAACTTTAAGCAGGAGAGACAATGCCAGCAGCAGCTTTGAAAGCATTGATTTTGGAGCCAGAAATTAATTTTAAGAGTTCACTCCTCTGTAGATGAACTATATTTAAAAGATGTTATGGAAGATTAAGACTGATCTGAATGCAGATTTAAAAATGACAGGCTACAAGAATAATATGGAAAATTATAGTACACTGGACCTACAAAAGGAATCAGAATCAGAATAGAGCTGGAAAGGCTCTTTGAGGTCTTCTAGTCCAACCCCCTACTCAAGCAGATAACTGATGTCTTAATAATTAAAAGGGATATACAAATAACAAATCGAGTGATCTAGATAATTTTTGGATATTTCAGATAACAAAAGAAGTTGTTAAAGCTCTGAAATTTGTGAGTAGGGACAAAAGAAAAGTAATCAAGTTCTAGGACACTATTTGAAGGGAGATTAAGACTGTTAACAACAAATACAAAGTTCGTTTATTTAAATTGGTTATCTTGTGATGAAGGGGGAAGTATTTTTTTTACATATTTCTTTTTATTTTTCAATTTTTTTCTGTACTTTTTAAATTTGTATTAACTTTTATTTTTGGAAAAAGGAAGTAGGCATTCTATTCTGTATTATTTAGATCACCATCTCAAACCTGTGTACAATTCTGGAAATCGCAATTTAAGGAAAATTCAGACAAATTAGAATAGTTTTGTAGAAGGGAAACAAGGAAAGAAAGAAAAGCACTGAGATCTGGATATGGCTGTATCAGCCTTCAAGCCTGGGACATAAGACAAGAATAGATTATCATGAAAGTTACCAGTTTCATAAATGTAAAGAATTCTAGCTACAATTAGATGCAGACTTTAAACCAAATTTGCTCTTCAAATAAATGATGCAAAGAAAGTACAAATATGAATTGAGAAACAGTGCTATAAAAGATGCAAACAGGGGGGAAGGGGACGAAGGGGGTAGAGTTATATAAAATTTGGTGTATTACTATGTTAAAGAGAAATAATGTAAATTTTTGTGTGTGTGTGTGTGAAGAGAAGGTGGTTGGCTGGTACCCCCAAACTGCATCCGAAGGTTGAGGAAAAGAAGGAGGAGGGATGTGTAGGGTAGTTGGAAGAGAAAGAGGAGAGAGGTGTGGGTAGGAGGGGAGGAAAGGAGAGGGAAGTAGGTAGGAAGGGTGAAAGAGAGGGTGGATGCGGGGTGGGGGGACTGCCGATCACCTCCGAAAATAAGATGTTTAATAGGGGTTTTTTTCCTTTTTTTATGTGCACCATATTTGTATTAACTTGTTTATTTGAAAATTAATAAAATTTGTAAAACGAAAACAAAAAGATGCAAACATGTTAACTTTCTTTTGCATCCTTTTTTTTTCCTGGGCTCTGTGAATGGCTCTTACCATTTATTAAGATTTTGATATAGTGTTTTGAGTCAAGTATGATGTGGTACAGTGGAAGATGTTCACAGAAATACAAATTAAGTTGCAGATTTGTCTGCTCCCTAAAAAGGATTTCTGATTACGAGTGACGTGGAAGAAAACAATGCACCAAACTTCAGAGTTGCCTTTCTCAAAAGCATGTATGTATGTAGCTCACAGGGATTTGGGGAATAGAAAGAGCATAAAAAAGAAGAAGAAGAAATCTGTTCAAAAGCTTGGAGGTGGGGGGAGATAGACATGCTTGCTTTTCCTACTCCTGTATCTCCCCATGAGCTTCCAGAATAGGTACAATATAGGTCTAAAACAAGTCTACAGTAAATGACTTTTATTTTTTAAAAAATGAAATAACCGTGAACATATTAACAGGCCTGCAGGTGGCACTACAGTACAGCTGGATAGAAGGTAGATACAGTCCCAATGAACAGTAAAACAATGGAATCCATCAGTTCAATGGTGACAATTCTGAATACAACTCTATCAAGCAGGAACATTTTACTGAAAATATTTCTGGACAAAGCTGATATTGAAAATTATTTCTGGGAAGCATTAATCCCAATCTAAAACTGACAACTGGTATTTACCAGTTTAGGGAGAGATGTACAACATCTCCAAAACATAAAAGTTCTTTTCCCCCCTTTATATCTGTGTATTGGAAGTAAAATTATTTTTAGCTCTCTTCAGGCCAATTGTGCTATTGGGAATTATTTCTAAGAATAATTTCTGGAAAAGTTTTATTGAAAGGAAGACTAAACATAATGTGCCTTTCCTTGTAGTCCAGGAACTGTTGTGGTATTTCAAATTCTAAAAATATCTACTTTCATGAAATACTGTTTCACTACAAACCTAGTTTTTCACTAAATACACATTTTTTTAAAAAATCCTGGAGCCCTCTGGGAAAATCAGTGGTTTCTCTCTGTGTTTCTGTATTTCTACAGTGTATAAAGAACTCTTAAAGGGAGCATGAAGAACAATTTCTTTTTTCCCTAGCTATGTCAGAGATAGATCTTACGTTCGTGTTCTTGTAGCCAGGATGCTGGCGTGTATACTCATTCAGAGCTAGCTATTTAGGTTTTCAATAAAATGTCCAACCTTGCATCATCCTTTCTAACTTACTGGAAAGACTAATTAGGTATGAAAAAGAGTCACACATTTTTCTATTCATCATATGCAGGAACACAACCTGGTTTCCATACAATTTCAATTTGCAAAAGGCCACCAGAAAGGGACTCGGCACCCTTCATTCTTCAGGAATTCTGTATATTATTGTGACCATCTATTAGATATTCAAGACTGAGGCAGCATATAGGCAGTGGCTGGAGAGTGTAATGAATGCCATGGCATCTTTTAGTGAGAGGTTTCAGAGTCCTTCAGAGGCAGCCACGTGCATCCCCTATACTGTGAGCAAAAAACCAAAACAAAACAACTCCGGGGGAGGGGGGGAGGGGTTCCGGAACCATCCATTCCTAAGATCTAGCCAGTTTGGATTCATGAGCTTTCAGTGTGCCAACAGCATCTTTGACTGCATGGTAGATAATGTTCTTCACCTGCAAAGAGAATGTAATGAATGAATGTAATGAAGAATAAGAATATAAATGTTTCCATCTGCCCCAAATTACTAATTACCAGGATTTATATTGCAATTGCCTATAAAGTTTGAACACGTATAAGGAAAGAGCATCAACTAAAGTGATGGAGCTACCAGGAGAAATCTTATGTAGAAATGATTAGCTGATTTCCTCATTAACGTTCATATGCAATTGGTTAATAATATTCTGCATATGCTAAGATCTTTGTAAAAGGCATGCTAAACAAGTTGAATTACTTTAATTTCCATATACATATACATATATATATATATATACATGGAAATTGTGATGTTCAAAAACATCAATACTAATGTAGTTTTAAAAAATGTAATTCAAAAATTCCTATACTCATTTTTATTAGGAAATTAAAAAACTACAACTTAAACCTTTAACCCCTGCCATTTCTGAGTAAGATTTTGCCACTCCATTCAGCTTGCAAATATCAAACCTCCAAATAGTTTACCACTGTGTCTATCTTAAGGGAACTAACAATGGATAGGAGTTTCTTCTCTATAACTTACGTAAATAAATATAGGACATGTGAAGATTCAAGAATATTACATTTTTTAAGTCTCCAATAAGCTCTGTGCAAGTGTAAAACCTTTATCTTTTAATCAGAGAGACTATTATGAGAAGTCAACATATTGTATAAACTGGTCTGAAATAAA